AGAGAGAGAGAGAGAGAGAGAGAGAGAGAGAGAGAGAGAGAGAGAGAGAGAGAGAGAGGCTATATATTACAAACGAACGCTTGGGGTCCTATGCACATTTATTTTATTTGTTAATAATAACCAGAGCAATTAACACGCGATGGTGGTTGACTTCAATAATAAGCTGATTTTCTAACACCTGACCCCAAAAAACAAACTTGCACCAACCTCTTACAACCTTTACAGAGGCGCCCAAGTACATATTCCTAGAATGTTCTAATGAGGAGTTCAATGTCATCGCTTCGGTACGTGCACAAAACTGCTATTTAACCTCAGAGCGACACGCATGAAAGAGAGGTTTCGAAACAGATGTACCGCGGAGAATGACTTCAGTTTACATAGTCGTAGGCGGTCTTAAGAGAATTACGAATAAGAATGAAGGAAGCCGCATGCATTCCTTATGTAACCTCTACAGGGAGTCACAGTACACAGTGGGTGAACAAACCACGGCCTCAAAACGTCTAGTTGACATTTACCTTTCTACAAGGTAGTCAGACCAACAGGAATCCATTAGTGCAATCCACAAGATGTTCTTGAGTAAATTTAGTCAAAAATCGAAGACTGTATGTACAGTACATATAGATAAACTAAAACAAGAGAGAGTAGTGTAGATTTCGTACGTCACTTTTAAATTAAATCACGCTAGCATGAGAAACAGTGCCAGTGGATTACCAGTACACTGCTCAATGCGGCCTCACAAATGCTACGGAACATTTACATTTCGGCCACACCAAGAAATTTTTGTTTATGACGTCCGAGCGCTCTCTCTAGCTCATTGATTTTGGCCTGTTCCCGGAATTAAAGAAAGCAAGAAATTCCGCTTCTTGTAACTATGACCATAGAGCCAAGGCAGTGGGATAAGGGAAGATGTGGTTGAAGGAAAGGAATAGGACAGGACGACAACTCCTGTTCCACTGATTTATTGCTGTTTTTATGACGAATAAAAGACTTGTTGCTTTTTACACTGTGTTCTTTCATTCAATTTGTGCCGTAAGATTTGTCGTCCCTTAGCATATTTCATATGCAGGCATCTTGCTTTTTTGGTTCTTCTTGTTTTTTTTCGCACTCTCGCATTAGATTTAGGGTCTCCACAGGGCGTCCTCCATAGAAAATTACTTGGTGAGGTCTTATCATTTACCAGTTGGGAGCTTCTCCTATAAAGATAAAATGAGGACTAAAGGGCGATATTGCCCTGGTATCAAATGGCGGCTCTTCAACAATATACCTCTGGAGAGGCAGACATAACAAGCCGATTCTTTGACAGACTAACAAGCAACCGGGTATGTAAAGTACCATCATTACAGTGAGACGCTCCCTAGATATATAGTCGCTTTGGTCTCTTTTATAGCCCAATATAAAGGATTTGCTATTATGTGGGTTGAAAGAATTGTACAGTCGAAAATTTTGGGTGAGTCCAATTAGTTGTGTTGGAAATTACAGTTTAAACTTGCTTCATAACGTAGTAGTTATGATTGACTTTACGTTTTGTAATGTACATATTTCAAACGTGGTTTCTAATTTTTCTGCGTTGAGTCTATGCACGACTGAGCGGTATGACAGTGTTGTCCAGTCCCCTCATAAATGATATTATCCCTAGGCAACGAGAGGGAGGTGAGGAAATGAAGAGAGCTGCAGCAAATCCCATTTACAGCATATCTAATTCCTTATCGACCCTCCAGCCTAATGTTTTATCCAACCTTTTGCAAGCCGCAAATGACTCCTACAGACTGAAAAGGCCAGGGGTTAACCTATAGAGTATTCTTCACATGAAACTGCTTAACGTGCGTCAACATCACAGAGAGGCCAACGGCGCTAATTACATGTTAGACGCTTGATGACGAACTATAGTATATGTTTTATTGTACCTCCAGGCGTGCTTATTCTCCTGTAGCAAGACTGGGATCGGCAAAAGCCACATGTTGCTTTGTACCAAACCTATGTTCTTATTGTAGCCCCGGGTGCATTTTTGCGTGGGCGCGAATTAATAAAAGACTTTGAAGCTGCTAAGAATTACTGAGTTTTTCTCAGTATTGTAGTTAGTGATATTACATGTTGAGAGAAAGCAATTCGTTACAATTGGTCACTATACAAAACAGGAAATGCACGGCAGAGCCATATTGGTTAAATGTCGAAGGTAATTACAAAGCAGTGAATTTGGCTGTCAAAATTGAATTGGTGAAGAGAGACGGGGGTATGTAAAAGAGGTGTCCATTTTTCAACTGGGTCATAGACTGCGCAATTCTAAAGCACCTATCAAAAGATGGACGTACTAAAATATGTGTATTTTGAGAACCATTCTACACAGCGTTCTGCAACCTACACAGTCAGCACCAAGGAGAGAACCATTCCGTAGTGTTCTGTAGACTACATAATCAGCACCAAGGAGAGAACCATTCTATACAGTGTTCTGCAGACTACTTAATTAGAACCAAGGAGAGAACCATTCCGAAGTGTTCTACAGACTTCATAATCAGAACCAAGGAGAGAACCATTCCGTAGTGTTCTGCAGACTACACAATCAGCACCAAGGAAAGAACCATTCAGGATAGTGTTCTAAATCAGTACCAAGGAGAATACAATTCCGTACAGTTTTCTAAAGGCTACACAATCAGCATCAAGGACAGAAGCACCATTTATACTGTTATGAAGACTACACAATACGCAGCAAGAAATGGCGGTTCTAAATTCTCTTCTTGGTCCTCTAGTGCAGAATCGGAAAACCCACCTACCAGCTGCCATGGTTCATCATCTATCAGTTTTGATGCAGTTCAGTCCAATTGCTTTTTTGTTGCTTATCCTTCAACTGACCTAGTAGGTAATACGTCATGTTGATAAGACTTTATCTGCCCTGACATATTTGTGTCATCAGATTTGTTTTTAAACCTCATGTCTGGACAGTAGTTTTCCAATAAGATACGGTTTTATTAGGTAATACTTGGGACGCCTGCAACAGTTGTAGCTAGCACATTGTGGAATATATCGGGACCGAGAAAATCGGTCGTTATGGCCAGATGGCCTGCTTATAGAGGTGGTCACTTGGGCGTATTATCACAATCTACTACTACCAAATGAAATAAAAAAATACAAACATCGGATGTACAATATCAATATTTACTTCTTTACAGTCAAATGCATTTTCATCACAATATTCCACATGTTAGCAAAACACAGTGATCTTATCATAAAGTGAAACAAAACATTTCTGATATGTGTAGGTTTATGTGGATTTTTCCAATCCATTTTTGTTTTGTGTCCCCAGTTTCTTCACAATACACTATGACATGAAACGCACAAGGTAAATATAACTTTCACATCAACAACAAACACATAAAACAATTATCTATGGATAATCAACAGAATATTCAAATGAATATTCTATAGACAATATTTGTCCCAAAAACATCATCAATACAAGCAAAACAACTTTCTACAGTTACACCCTGAGAACACTACGAAAAACTCACAATACTCAAGAAAGGTCCAGCAGTCATAGTCACTAACAAGCTGTGAATGGGAACACTTTTAAGTCCTCTTTGCAAAACATGACTGGTAAAATAATCTAAACGTTCCAGCACACATACTGTTGCTATGATTCACACAGCAGTTTTTTTTTCACTTGCAAAGTAGTCTGGAACTATACTTGGAAATATAAGATGGATAAGCAGAAAAAATGTACACCAGATGCTTTCTTATTAATTACTGCAATATGAATGTCTTTTGTAAAGTTTTATCCAAAGGAATGAAATGAAGGATGGACGCTTTATTGCCTGTTTTTTTTTTGCAATGCAAAGAAGAAGAAAAAAAGACATATATTTCTTTTGAGTTCTTGAAACACCATAACAGTAGTGGGCCAGTAAATGCCCACTAATTTGGTGCAATGTTACTGTTAATATACTTTGTAGCCTATTACAGGCCTTGTCAAACCTTCAGTGGCTATTGCTTACTACAGCTGTCATCAAAACATTTCACAACACACCAATGGCAAATATAAACAGTTACCATGCATATGGTAGCATTTCTTTAGAATTAGATAAAAAGCTTAAAACATTAAAAAAAAACTGAGGAAATGTTGACCAGCAACATAATCAAACAAGCAGCTTTCAAGAAATTAATCAAAACGTTGAATGTTTGATTTACAAAATTATATAGTTGCAAGGTATAAACAGAAATAAATTACATAGATTACTTTTTAAATTAAAACATTAAAGATAACACCATTTTTACCATACATGCTAAATCATGTACTTCACTGATTTTTGAATTCCTTGATTTTCATTAGACTTAATTGAATACGGTGGATTGTAATGCATCTTAAATCTAATAATCAGGAAAAAATGCAACACGCAACAAAATTAAGTTCACGGCATGACGAGGAATTAGGAGCACTGCTACGCATATGTCAACCCACATTACATGCTGCCCATGTATTAGTGTTACATGTAGCTACCATCTAACAAGGTTAGTGAATGTTTAATCTACATTTGTACAAAGTTTGAAGCCTTTTTGATGAAGCAATTAAAAAAAATAGTCTGAAAAAGATGGGACAAAGTGTGCAGAAATCACTATATATAGCTCTGCTGTATTACTTCCATAATTTGCAACAAAATCATATAAATTTGTTGTTAATGACCACTTTTCTCACAGTCATGTTTATGTATTAAAGATGTAAAGTTAGCTGCTCTATTTCCTGTAGCCAGTGATGCGCCGTTATAAATGTTAATCCTTTGCTTGCATCTATTTGATCCCTACTAATGATTAAAGAAATCTTATCAATTTTCGTCCTAGAATAATTCCTCTCCTAAAAATCACTGTGTTGTATTGCTGTTACTCTTGGAAAAATGATGGCACATATTAGGACGATTTCAACACCCTGAATCAAATCTTGTTATTACTGCAACTGTCAATATTCCTTATCATAATTATTTATTCTGTGACAGAAGACTACCGATCCCATGTTACATCACATCTCCACTGGGAATGTAGAGGTATACAAGTTAAAAATACATTTTTTAAATGACGCTTAAGGCCAAACTATACTAATTTAGTATCTTGGTTTAAGATTTGTGTAAGAAAATAATGGAGCTTATATATGCGGGCAAAATAGAAATTATTTAAAAAATGCATCCTGCGATCGACCCACTTGCTACCAAAAAGTAACATACTATGCAGGATAACATTTAAACTATGGATTTTCATCTTGTAATGCATGAATAAAAAGCAACTAAAAATAGGAAAGGTTAGGGCCATATACAAAAGCATATTTGGATTGATTCACATCCCAAATAGTATATGTGATCTTTCATATACCTACTTTTTTTTTTAAACAAAATGAAGTGTGCAAATCTAAGTACCAAGAAATCCGATATTTGATGTGACCTAATAGCACTGCCTAAGGTGTATTGCACAGTAGGATTCCGACCAATAGTGGAATGAGGTTGAGGAACAACATTCCCAGAGTTGCTGTTCGACCAGGTGATTCCGAAACGCTCTGAATAGTTCCGCAGGGGACTGCAGAATAAGAACAAGAGTTAATAGTTTTAAAGTGATTGAAGTGCTATCCTAGTGGCAACTATCATTAGCATCACAACAAAAGTGCCCAACTAGTATTCACACCAGTAAGTGATAATCAATTCTAAAACGGTGGTTTATGCCGTTTTTCAGCAATATTATCTTGAATGCCACTAAAGCAACTGGAGGTAGGTATATGAACCTAGATTAATGGTCAGAAAAGAAGGAAAAGTCGTAATCATATGTAATCCTACAATAATTCACATAATATAATTCAATACATTGAATATTTGTACAACGGTAACACAACAGAAACCCCAAAATGCAAGTGACATCAATTTGATTTGAAAACATAATCAATGTCTTAGGGTAATATTGCAATGTAAACCATAAATTATAGTAAAATCGTCAGCAACATTCTCAAAATAGCATTTGTTTTTCTAAGCAATATCTTCAATCAGTTGCAATTGACAAAATAACAACATGATGATGATTCTAAAAAAAGTGTGGTCCCTTACCCTGTGGTCTGGTTGAGGCTGTAGACAGATTTGGAGGGTCTATTTCTGCTGGGCAGGTGATTTGTAAATTATCCTGGTAAAGACAACAAACCAATGAACTTCAAGGCAAAATCTAAACAAAACATCTACTGCATACATGCACTACTTCACAAAAATGTCATAAAATGTCAATCCAGCTTAGCTGTTCACTTGCAGTTTTCAATGACATTTCAGTAACATGCCACACAAATGCCAAAAGTAGACTGACTTTTATATTGACTAATACGTCACTAAGTATAACATATCACACACATGGCTACACCACATCTCAAAGCACATGGAAAATACAAATTTATGAAAACCTGCCTTTACTACTTGCTCATAGCACATTTATGTATTCGCTGTAACTAGTTCTTGACATATTTGTGTAGCCCCAGGTAATGGTAGCATTGTGATTCATCTATATTACACACATAAAAATCATACACATCTATGTTCCCCATGTAATACCAGCAATAGTACTAGTAATAATAGTAAATAACATCTATGTAGCCTCTAGTAATTTCAGCTTTGTTATTCTATTGGCATTGTAATCATACTTACCCAACACATTTCTTCACAGGAAGGACAAACCAGACTGCCTGTGTGCAGCCAGGAGCCTTTCACCATTGCAACAGACAACTGAAAAACATGTGAAAAATAGTCTTTATAGTGTACTACAGACTACACAATCAGCACCAAGGAGAGAACCAGTCTTTATAGTATTTTACAGACTACAGAATCAGCACCAAGGACAGAACCAGTCTTTATAGTGTTTTACAGACTACACAATCAGAACCAAGGAGAGTACCAGTTTTTATAGTGTTTTACAGACTACACAATCAGCACCAAGGAGAGAACCAGTCTTGATAGTGTTTTACAGACTACACAATCAGCACCAAGGAGAGAACCAGTCTTTATAGTGTTTTACAGACTACACAATCAGCACCAAGGAGAGAACCAGTCTTTGTAGTGTTTAACAGATTACACAATCAGCACCAAGGAGAGAACCAGTCTTGATAGTGTTTTACAGATTACACAATCAGCACCAAGGAGAGAACCAGTATTTATAGTATTTTACAGACTACACAATCAGCACCAAGGAGAGAACCAGTCTTTATAGTGTTCTACAGACTACACAATCAGCACCAAGAAGAGAACCAATATTTATAGTGTTCTCTATAATACTAGAACAAAACTAGAACAGAACCGTTCAAAGATGGTTTATAATTTTTTTAAAATTTTTACACTGCATATGTCATTGCTGTTGCTTTCTTTAAATAAGCGAATAATTTGACAAGCTTCCATTCCAAAGACAGTATACTTTGTATATAGGTAGTTTAATCCTTATGGATAATACGCAGTCTTCTTTGCATAGGACGGTCTTCTATCCATGATAGTTCAATGCTTGCTTCATTAATATGAATCATAAATCTAATGCTATTAATATATGACACAGCAGGTGACAGCATGGCATTCAATTTGTTGTCAAGCTCCCACCATGACGTATGCTTTGACAAGGTTCCTGCTATGGCCTACATGTACATGTATTGCGTAGGTGAGATGAAATTGTCACATCATATTAAAGTGAAAAACAAGTTAAATGCACACCTAATGCCATTTCTTACAAATGATCTCCATTCTCTGGAGGTTAACCATATTTTCAGTGGGACTCCATTACATTGTACAAATTCATATAAATTTCTTGTCATTTACATACAAACATAGATGTACACCCCCAAAAGACCTGCACAGCTGCACAGCCAAATATGGAAGTGAAAAATGCCATGATGGTAAATGAGAGTGCAATATGTGACATCTGGAGTGTTTAGATTGTGTATGGTGTGGGTGGTAGTCTCCGCTATGACTTCAAAATACATGTACAATGACAGGATGACAAGGAAATGAAACATAACAGATGCTTCCTTCCTTTATCAAATATTGGTAACGGTCAATGAAGCAAATAAAAATCTACATACTCCACATACTCGTCAACAACAATCTAATAATATCTGAGTATTGATTAAAGCTGTAGCAATACTACATGTACATACCTCTATACTGCTAAACTTCAATCTACAAAATTGACATACACAATTTTTCTTACCTCTTGTCCTTTTCTGTAACAGCGATATTCCTTGCCTGCTACCACCACGATCAGCCCTTCATTGGTACAGCGGTACTATATACAGAAATACACCAATACCATCACTAATCAAATATAAACACCAGAAAAATGGTAATGCAGGAATTGTCAATGAAGTTTTCAATTAATATCAGAGATGGATTGTCAGGTAATTGATTTGCGGACAAATATTTTCAACATTGAAATGCATTTTTGCAAATTAATATTCATCCTGGCAGTTGTAAAAAACACCCCCTCCCAAGGCACTTGGAGTTAAATGTTATAATATGCATAGCTGAACATATTTAGTGAATTCAATTTTTGTAGCTTTTAAATATGCGTAAGATACTTTCTTGTATCACAAAGAATGTGGCACCACAGACTTTCTGCAACTCACGATCCACTTCTCATGTGTTTTATCTGCAGAACAATCATGATGTCAGACTCACAGAAGGGATGGATTGTTCAATCCTTGACATTGACTGGTCAGGAGTTTTACAGTCACAAATTTGGGTCTAATTCCTTGTGTTTGGAAATTGCAGTTCAAAACTGGCTTCATAATGTCCAGTCTACCAACACAGAAAAACTTTTGAGATAAAGAATGACAAATTTAAGAAATGGCAACAGCAGACCTGATAGCAGCCACTGCCCCAGTCGACAGCCGAAGCCCTTTGCCTACAGTCTTCCTTTGTCCAAGCACTGCCCTGTTCTACACACTTGGAGTCCTGGCCGTAATATTCCAGGGCAAAGTTATCCCTGTCTGAGGGGGCGTTTTCTGCCGTGTCACAGTTGGATGCCCTGGAGAACACACCATCTGACTGCCAGTTGAACTCCTGCAAATATAATATTATAAAATATATATTAATATTTTTGTTACTGGTGGCTGTAGATATACTGTGTATACTTGCCTAAGGTACACAATACAAAATATGTAGTTGTACACAGTGAAAATCTTATAACCATATAGTAAAAAAGGGCATATTTAAGCAACATTTCACAAACTACTGACCTGTGCAAAAATGATATTTTAAGATACATGTAACATTTAAGTCTACTAAAACAATGCAATTTCATTTGTAGGCAAAAAAATGTATTCAAAATGCCAACCTTTCTTGCAATACTACCTAACATTTAAGTTCTGGTTAACAACAAAATGCCTAATGTGAAAGTTATATTTTTAATGTACCGGTTTTGGCTCGTTTGGTTTATGCCTTCTGGAGTGCTTTTAAAGCTATCTGCATAATGTTAAAAATAGGTCTACTTCACTTCTATCACATAGAATATGTGTTAGAAACATGATGCAGGAAAATATCACATTACTTAGAACAAGCTGCCTTCCTAGCTTCAAGAGAAACACAATACTTACCTGATTGAAGGGGCAATAGTCTGCCAAGGCCACTCCACCTCCATAGTTTTGTAGAGCAGTATTATCTTGACCAGGGATGCTGTCAAAATACTAGAATAAGCAAACAAAACACATTAACATTTTAAATTTGTTTCTATCTGGAAGAAGCAAGCGTTGTGTTATGGTGTATGTTTACAATCTTTTCATTCAGAGAGACCTTTTTATCTCAGTTTTTATGTAACATTATTTTATTATTGCAAAGTAAAAAGCAGGTTAAGGTAGCCTTTTTGAGGCAGTAGGGGCAGTGGGTTGTTAAATGTCTGTGTCTAGTAGCTAGGAAGGTGGTGCCCATCTCTCTCCTTCTACTACCTTTACCTTCCCAGCCAAAGTGAGGTGCCCATTATATGACAGAAATGCCAGGGATCAAGCCTTAGCCTCCTGCCATTTGATGCCATCTTCTTTCATTTTGAGGCAGCTACCTTCAACTTGTTCAAGATTCTACTGCCTTTTATCGCTAATACGAGAGAGGGGTGGGGTTTCCAGGCCTTCATCCGGGTGATTTCAAGTGCATTACCAACTCCAGGTAGTAGGATTGTCGAACCATTGCACATGGCATGCCCCTGGCCTTTCTTGAGAGGTGTAGCAGATTCTTTAACATGCATGGGTGGCCACAGGGATGTGGATATACACAGGACCTCCATTTAATGTCCTATCCAAGGAACATCCCTAACCCAAGCTAAGTACTCAATTTCACCTGAGTGATGTAAGGAAAGTGCCAGGAGCACAAGATGGCATAGCAGGATTTGAACCCAGGACCTCTTGGTTCCGAGACAAGCATTCTGCAGTTATGCCTCATGACCCCACGTCTGTTAACCAGACGTCTGTTACCATGGTGTTGGGTTACACCATGTTGCAATTTTATTGCAGGAGGGATTTCGACTCCTGTCTGACCATAATGTGTTTGAGTAAGAGTTAACAGGGCAGACCATATGCAAAGGTAAACATTATGCATTTGCCTTACAAATGTTACCTTTCTAGTTTATCAATAAATTTGTCAGGCATTTCCTACTGACCTGGTATTCCTCGGGAATGGGTCTGCCGTAGTTCTGGAGGTTGCACAGTGCTACAGACACCCTGTCAATGCTGCACCTCAGCTGGAGAGGGTTCTGTTGTACTGTGTTACAGTAGGGTGCAACCAACTCCCCTCTGGAAGACAAAATTTGGGCCACATGGTCAGAGATTAGAAAATATTCAGAATACTGAAGTAACAACAAATGCATGTATTTTTTATGCAAAGAATGAATGAATGAGCATCTACAAAACTAGTGAAATCTTCTCTTGTTGAAAGACAGCAACTATTAAGATAAAACCAGTACATTAACATACTTTTGTGTCTGAGAGTCAATCCAATACTTGCAGCTTTTCTTGGCAAAATCACAACCCAGGTTCTTCCCCCATAGCAAAGGCTCAGCCATGTCATAGTTAGCTCTGTACCACCTGTAAAACAACATGAAATCTGGGATTATCAACCTCCAAAAAGTATCTCCAGAAAGGCAAACACACACAAATACAAACATTGAATCTGTCCCTGGAGATAACAAAACCATGCACTTTTGCTAAGCATCAGTAGAGGGCACAATTACATATACTCGTGATTAAGACATCCTTTGCACATACCCTGTATCCTCCATCAGTGCTAGAGTTAGCCTGGAGAAGGCTCTGTTTTGGGTATGAGATCCTGTCATAGCTTCACTCTGAAACACAGCATGAAAAAATGGCATTGAACATACTTCATAGACAGTATAATTTTTTAAGTAAAACACACATAACAGATACAGCTACTGTGAAAATAATTATTCTAACCATCTTACAGAAAATATTCATTTTACTTCAGTATCTATTATCAACAGGACTTACACCTATCTGAAGCTTTACTACTAACAGTAAAATCATTTTTCATAGTATTCTTCTTACCTCAAGTAACCGCTTTTCCCAGTGATTCCATTCTGTGCCAGCACCCCCCTGATTCTCTATTTCAGCTCCTCTCAGATCTGGACAGTTAAAATGGTTCCTTATTTCTTCCTAAAAAAAAGGAAACAGATCATTTAACATTCATCCAAATTCAAATGTTTGGAAGGTGAACTTAACTCAAGGCCTGCAGTTTGCACAAAAGTCAGAAGATGTCACTGCAGAACCCACAAAGACTCTGCAAAGGCTTCGGCCACAACCAGCATGATGATGGGTTTTCTTACCACGACTTTTGGCGTGATGATAACGTTGACTTTATGCTGGAGGATGCGACCACCGCGGACGTGCCACTCTGGGTACGTGACCTCTTGGATCACGCGATCGCTCCACTGGTAAACTCCACGTCTACAGGCAAAAATACAGTAATCCTCACTCAAAAGGACGATTCTGCAGCATGTAATCCCCTATGACTTAAGTCCATTCTTTGCTACACAATACAAGATGAAATTGTGGACTTACTGGTCATTGAAGACTGGCTTTCCATTAGCACTTCTGTTTGTCAGAGGGTTTCCATTCTCATCTCGGTAGAATGCAAAGAGGCCGGAGGAAAAGCCCTGGATAATAGTTAGGAAAGTAGTTAGAGAGGAAAGATTCCATTCATTTTTAATTATAACATACCTCGACTAGGGAGCTCCCCCCTTACTTACCTACATAGTCCCTACGCACACACATTTGTCAATAATGCATAAAGATACAGATAAGTACATACATAGCTTTATTGTTATGTATTGTATTATCCCTCAGCTATATGCAACATAGTCTTACTGATCAGTTACAAATCTATTGTTGCTGATTTGCCATATGCTGCATGTATCAACTCCTTGGTGATGCTGATGATCATGTCCTTGGTGCTGATTGGCTATCATTAATGCATTCACCTCAGCCCTATGGCTGATTGGCTATAAGTCACATGTACCAATACTTTAAGCTGATTTGTTACAACAGCCTTGTTGGCAACTCATTGGGTACTCAATTTGGCAATTCTGTTAGTGATTGCACTTCTGCTATGATCATGGTGCTATATATCTGAAGTCATGACAGACATCTTGCTACTTGTGTAGTGGTTAGCAGGGGCATGTTCATATTGTTACAGTATTCAACTATATATTTCTTACCAAGGCATGGATCATCTCATGCTTGACAGTGGACAGTAGGCTGGCAAACTCGTGAGGCTTGGTGGAGATGACATTTGGGCACAGATTGGCATAGCCTGCAACAGGCCTAGAGAAACATGGAGTCATGTCATATAGTATACATGTATGCACTGTATGTAATGTAATGTAATTTTTTTTGTCGGTTATGTCGACTATACAGATACAGGTACTCAGGCCTAGGAAAAAAATGTTGTGTTTGCTGTTTTAGTCCTGAAAAACATTAGGGTCGGTAGGTATACAAATATAGGGATTATCTTTTTTTTTTTTTACTTTGGCAATCTCTAGTGATCCAACTATTATATAGTTTAACAAAGTAAAACTTGCATGAGGACACTTTCATTTTCAATGTCAATGTTGAACAACTGATGGTACGTTTCATCGTTCAGGTGTCAGATCATGGACCTAGAAAACGTCAATCAGCTCAAAGAATTTATGTCCCTTGCAGGGGTCTACACACAAAAAAAGGGTACGGTTGGCGGTTTCTTTTAGGGTCACACAATTTTTTTCATAGGCCTCAAGTCAAATAAACTGTTACTCTTACCTGTCCAGAGCAGCTTCCAGTTGGCAGTAAGCAGCATAAGCGACAGTGTCGTCCACCCCACAGCGGTCAGTCTGTTTGGCTGACACATACAGGATGAAGTCAGCACTGGCCACCCCTGGTCCTGAGGGATTACCCACCAGGTTACAGCCAGTCTGATGGGTCCAAACCCGGCACTGTGGGGGTTAATCATACAGTATAAGAAGCAGTAGTCAGAGACAAGATGTCTGATAGCAGGACTGGAAAACCTTTTTGTTGCATACCTTCACTGGTGCAAGTTTGGGTTAGGGTTAGGGTCATGCAGGATTGCACTAGGATTGAAAATTAAATGCACCAGACAAATTTTACCTCCACCTCTCAGACTGTCAGAGGTTTGGTTTATACTAAAAACTGTTCAGTAACAATTATATTATACTTCATAGCTGGTAACAGTAAATGCAGCAAAACTGAAAAGTCACAAACACCTTATGTAGTACATACAAGAAATTATTATAAAAACACAGAATATGAACCAGTGCAGGTTAGGTGCAGGTAGACATAAAAAATGATGAGGATGACTAACAACAACAAAAACAAAAACAACAACTTTGAGCCCTAGATATACAATGTATGCATCGTCAGGTGATGTTTCTGGTTGTGTTAAAGGAAACCCCAAAATAATTCAACACAAAGACAACATACAGTAGTATTACCTGTCTGAGATGTTCCTCAGGTACCTGAACCTCTCCACACCTGGTGGTGACATTACAGGCCGTCTCACAGCACAGGTGAGGGTCATTCTCCAGGATCACTGCATGGCCTGTCTGGCACTGACTACAGGCACGAAACATGGGGATTAGGGATAGCAGACTTCACCCCCTCAGACAGAACATACAGCAACTGCACTGTGAAAGCACAGGCAGACACAAGGACACAATACTATAGTATCTACCTAAAACAATACTGTACACCTGAAACAATACTGCATACCTAAAACAATACTGCATACATGTACCTAAAAAAAATACTCCTTTCATCAGGGGTTTCAGTAATCAAAACATGTGCATGGCTTCATGTATATATGATGACCGTGTATTAAGAGGAACGGGGGACCTTCTATTCAAGAGTTTTCTATTAAGGAAAAAACAGAACACTTTGATAACTGTTTTCTTTCATCAACGTCTACTTGGAGAGTACCAAAAGGCTACCAGGGCATGTACAGCATACAAGTTATATATCTACTGTGGCAGTTTCAGTTTAAATGCTACAATTGTGTACTTACCGATCTAACAATATAGGCACACCTGTCCCCCTTACATATAAAGTGTTTTGTAGGAACTCCTTGGCTCGAGGGAACAAAACATTCTGGAAAAGAATAGAACAAATCATCAGATTCATGTATACATAATAAAACCCATCACATGTAAGTCTTTGAAACAATATTTGGGCAATTCTAACTTCAACTAACAAAAACAATTATGTAATGATCTACAATTAGACAATGCTTCAAATGATCAGGACTACAATGTACATGTAAATTGTAACTGCATTGTAAATATTCTTCAAGAATTGTAATGCCATAACTTACCTTCACTAGGTCTTTCTTCTCTGTTGATAATCTGTAATGAGATGAGAATCATAAATACTCATTGAAATGACTAATTAACATGGTTCAGTATTCTGTATATTTGTACCTAAAAGATTTGGCTGTATCATACATGTACACTAAATTTGGTACGCTGAGTGAGTACTGAGTACAGTGTTTATAATTTACATGTATCTGGTGGTGCTTGATAAGGAAGCATGTCTCTCCTTTCAAGGACACTTGTAAATCCCCGGGAGTGTCTTAAGCCTGTAGTAAGTTGTACTGGATGTTTTTGAATACTTGTGCACAATCAATACAGTTTACAGTCTCACTACAGCATACAAAATCAGTCCTCTCATTGTTACAACCCTAAGGCTGAAACCCAGTATTATCCATAAAATCATTCTGCCTTGAGCACTACAGTGATAATATAAGTTCTCTCAAGAGACATAGTGCCTCAGTCCGATATGCAAAAAGAAACATAATTCTCGACCTAGGTACAAAATGGGAATTTTCCCATTTTCTTCTTTCGCAAATTGTGTTACAGTCATTACACCAGGATCATTTTTGGTGATAAGGAAATGTCTGTCAAAAACCAAATTACCTTAAAGACACTGCAAACATTTCAAAATTTACAGTAGTTGGCAACTGGCCATGGTTTGCCTTGGGAGTGCTTCTATTCATGAAGTGTAAATTATCATAGATCTAGCTCATATATAGCTGCAATGATAATACTAAATCAATGATGAGAATCATATTATCATTTTGCACCTCAGAGAACATGCCATGGCCACAAAACGGATAATGGAATTTGGGCATAAAAAGAAAATTGAGTTAGAAACTAGAAGGATGAGTATGAGTCTACCAGCCTCTATTCAAAGCAAGTATACTGTATTATGTAGTTCTAAGACAGTCATGTACAAAAGATTCTATTTAACATTATAATGATTGTATCTGTGTACAACTGTCTAGTCTATAACAAATAAAATTGAATCTGATATTTTGAAGTGACCTCAAGCTCCAGCCATTGATTTTTTGGGTAGAAATATTATCATTCATTACCTACTACATGTAGTTTCTGGGCAAAGAATTAATCAAAACATGCAGTCATGATTTGTTAAAACTTAGGGCTTGTGAATTGTGTATTGTGGCTGAAAATACTGTTTTCAACATACCTACACTAGAACTGCATGTAAATTTGAAAATCAACTGTACTAGACAAAATTATTCTATTGACATCACTCTTGTTTATAAATTCTTTTTCCTTTTTGAGTAATTTTATAGTCCATCAAATACAAATTACCTTGATCAGAATAATGGCATAGATAATGCAAAATACAGTCTACCAGAAATATGTACCATTTATATACTAGTACCTGAGTCATATGCTTTCCGTCAACGATGGCAGACTTGAACTATTCCTCAATCCTCTAACTACAAACATACATGTATAATATACACTTTTGTAAGCATATACTCTCCGAACAATTTACCCCCAGATTTTTACTAGTACTTTTATCAATCAAAAACTTTTACCAAGGGGACTTTCCAGCTTATTGACAATATTTCACAAAGGACTATAATAGAAAAGGCTTATGGAAAATGATAAATGGTTCACCCTAGGGCTGTAGTGGGTCAAGAATAATCAGACTGAGGATATACTGACTGTACATGTGACTCCAGGCAATAATTTAACTGGGATTTCAGCATAGGCTTTCTACTGCCAGTTATTTTCAAAGACTAAGTTAAAGTATCTGCACAATTACGAGTACGGTAGTTGAAATATTTCAAATACATTAAAACGCATGATATAAAAGACAGCCTTCAGATTCCAAACTTAAGTCAGTATACTATTACATAAAAAAGAATAAAATAATGTATAGAATGTACTTACTGTTCTATGCTACTGTCATAAACAAGGTGTATTCTCAATGGTTGATCTAGACTTCTCTTCTTGACTATATGTGCTGGCTCTATGTGGACACCATGGACAACCTGTGTATGTACATAGTAGACATAAAGGTTTAGAAAGAGTTGCAGCATGCCTACTAATAAAACTAAATTGGACAGAGAAAATTCACACAATTGAAATGATATTAGTAACACTAAATCTTCACTAAAGTAACGGACAACTTTATTGTTTTTTAGTAGTACACCCTTTAAAAATGTTTCAATGTTTCAATCAATGTTCTAGAATAACCTTGAGATTTGAACATGATGCATTAGATTGTTACATTTAAGTAGTACAAATACCTGAGTTGTGTATACAAATTGGCTAACATTAATGATTGGGACCTTTTCTCAAACTAGCTTTCAAATATTTGACCAAGGTGGTAGCTTAGCACCACCTGTAGTATGTGCCATTCATGCCTGTTACAAATTGTTACAAGTCAAACAGGTCTAGATCCTTGACCTTTTGCATTTAACTGCATCTACTGTCATTAGAAATGGTTGAACGACTATGAATGGAAACTTTGTTCCACAAGGCCGTTACACCCAAACTGACCTCTATAAAACAAATTCTGTATCTGGGTGTGGTCTATCTAGAAAAGTGATTGTGATACTAAAGCGTTGTTTGTTGTTGCGATATACACTGTAGCAACTGAGAGCATACTAATGATCAACCATGCTATTAGTGTTACGTGAAGTGTCAATGTTAATGACTACTTTATTGTTGTAAAGTACCCTATTTTCTAAGCTGCTAGCATAACTAGACCTTTAGGACTAAAGCTAAGGTGAATGAATGACTGAACTTAATTGCTTGAAAGTTGAACACGGTACAATTATAAATGGCAACAATGACAGAATAAAGCTTACAATAGAAATTTTCTTCTAGGTTGCGTGAGCAAATTAGTATGATAATGAAATGTATTTCCCAAGGGAACAATATCAAAGACTGTAGGGGATTCAAACCCAGAAATTGGTAGAATATAATTAGGCCATTTTGATTTGATTATATGTATAACATCCATGTGGGAATGAATTTTTATCGCGCTTCAAAAGAAAGTTTTTGACAATACTGTAAATCATACAAAGCAGCTGCAAAATGAGCAAATATATGCCATACATTGCAAAAAAAATATTGAAAAATGATACTTTGTGTCGTGTTGTTGCCATACAATATGACATAGGTCAGGTTTAGTTATTTGTTCAACCTGTTATATTATATAGTAACAAGGGAATTCATTGTTATCCTGCCCAACCAAACCAATAATAATATATCATAATTTTATCAGTTACAATTAACTTACATGTCTCTAACAAAAACTGCAACGTACCATTACCACATGATATCATTTGACCTGAAAGTTATAATTCTAAGCCATATGAAAATGAATGTATTATTGGCCCCGGAGGGCATTAATCTCACACGCTAGGTGAGAAATCCATGGCAACACGGAAAATCAATAAAACACATAAATCTAATACAATAAATCATGTTTGGCAAATTATTTGTCATCGCATTTGGCCTGAAAACATTACAACACGGTCTGAATGCACAATAGGGAATACGACGCTTTGTTGGTGCAATTGTGTTACAATGTGACGAGGGAAAACATTTTACCTGAGGAAAAAATCGTCTGACATAAAATTGCCCAGTTGTCGTTTGACACTGACAGACGATACACGATCAGTAACGTTACGGTTCATGGCAACCGAAGTTCAGCGGTTAGAAATCAACCTCACATCCGTAGCAAATATGAAACATCTTACCTCGTTGGGCTTGGGAACCTGATGTGAACATCTGTGTGCCTGTGCGTAAACCAGTAAACATAAAAACAAGGAAACAAGGAGGCAACAAGCGGAGGGGACGGAAGTGTTGTTGCCAGCGGTCGCCATCTTGGCTCGTTCCCAGGATATCGGATACCGGAAACACACGGGAACGTGATTTTTGGCTGTCAGCGGAAATACGAAATACGTCACGCCTGGTTTCCTTTTCTCGTGACCCAGTTTCTTGGTTGGTTGGTTGGTTGGTTGGTTGGTTGGTTGGTTGGTTGGTTGGTTGGTTGGTTGGTTGGTTGGTTGGTTCTTCATTAGCATGACCCCTATAATCAAGAACAACATTTGATAAACTTTGAATGTCACAGAGGTGAGCCCGCGTGGATAAAAAAAGAAATTCCACAACCCCCATCCAGTCGGGAAGTGGACTAGTCCATAACTTGCGTAAGGCGACACCGTTGACCCTGAAAACAGCCTTTCTGTCAAGATGGTGGACAACGACGAGGTTCTAAAGTACATCGGGGGCTTCGGTACCTACCAGCGGCGACTATGTCTCCTCCTGTCCCTCACAGCTATCCCCTACGCCGGGCACATGTTAGCCATGGCTTTCCTAGGCGCCAAACCCCCGCACCATTGCTCGGTAGCGGGGCTAGAGAATATAACGGTCAGGTTTGGCGAGGACGAGGGACTACGGTTGGTCTTTCCAGGGACTACAAAAGATGGAGTGTGGACCTTGAACCCTTGCAAGAGGTTTGTGCGAAGATTATACATTGACTGTAGGGAACAAGTAGTTCTAACTACTGATGACCTTGAACGTCTAGTTCCTGAAGGTCACGGAACGTGCGAGACGCTAGGCCCTTCAAATTAAGGTCACACTTAATGTATCACTTGGAGTGGGTTGATATGATAACTAATAGAAAGGTAACATTTGCAAAGCAAATATTACATAATGTTTACCTTCGAATATGGTCTGGTCTGTTAATTTTTACTCAAACACATTCATATACATATGATGACAGGAGTATAAAGGATCATAAAGCCCTCCAACTGTTAAATTGTAACATGATGTAACCCAACACCAGTTAGTTACCATGGTGACAGACAGTCTGGTTCAGTCAGGTCAGAGGTCACTGGAGAAGGAGAAGAAGAAGAAACGTAGCAAAACTTCGGAAAACGTAATGATCTTTCCATTTTTGCAGGTACGACCTAGGTTCTGTAGATGTGGAGGGTGCCGACCCGTGGAACACCACAGGTCTGACGGAGGTGCCGTGTGACCACGGCTGGTGGTACGACACCAGTCAGTTTAAAACGTCCGTGACCATGGAGGTGAGGATAAGATTTAGTACTAGGGCCTAGGGCGGGTTTCGCACACGCCTGCGTAGTACTCGTACGTTTTTCCGACGAGCTCTGTAGGAGGAAAATGTGACTTTTCACGGTGTTTCAAATTCGCTGTTAAAACAATTCTGTAGTACAGTAGCTACAAAGGGCAGATATTTTATACACGCGTTGAATTTGCAGTAGAGACTCAGAGGTCACCACAGGAATCACCTCAAAAGTTTCACGATCTATATTTTGGTCCGGATCCGAGTTGTGAAAGCACATCGCGGCCAAAAGGGCTCACTTGTCCCAATGACCTTGCTTGTCCCAGAACTGAAAAGTTGTTTACAACATCAGCAGAATGCGTGCCATGTCTTGGCCGACTTCCGACGATTTCCAACAAGAAACAGCTGGGCAGCTGATTCCAATCTGGCTGTACACTTCACCTCAAGTGGCCATGAACTAATGTATCCTTGGTCTATCCCTCAGTCATGTCTGGTACGGTCACTGGGAGGTAAAAAGAGGTCCCAGAATGAATTCGACAAAAGTGCAAATAAATTGACTTCAGTAACCTGGTGCCGGCCGACAGTTAACTTCCCGGGATCTCCTCGGCACTTGGAGTTTTAACCGCCCGCCGAGACCTATAGCACGTTTGGGGGATTTTTTTTTACGGGAAGATATTCCAACAAAAGTCAAAAGGGTCAAGGATCTAGTAGTTGTTTGGCTCTGAAATACAGTTAATACTTTGTTTGTTGTACTTCATAAATGAAAATAAATCATTTTCTGATTGTTTTGCAATGCACTTTTTGTAGGGAGAACAAGTTGAACAGTGTTATTGATATGCGGTCAATGTAATTTTCTTTTCTTTTTTCTTCACGTTTTAGCACAACCTTGTTTGTGGTCGGAAATGGATGGGCAGTTTAGCACAGTCCATTTTCATGGTGGGGGTCTTATTGGGTGCCGTCATTTTTGGCGACCTCTCTGACAGGTTCGTTTCATGTTTACAATTCAATATTTAACGACAACAAAACATGTGTTATCAGGTGTTATCAAATTGTCTTCAATAATTTTTCATTTTGCATAAATGTGGCCTTTCTGTCTAATTATACTTGCATATTTTTACAGGTTCGGAAGAAAAAAGGTCTACTTTCTTTCCCTCTTCATCATGTTGGTGTTCGGCGTAGCAACGGCCTTCGCACATAACTACTGGCTCTTCGTATTCCTCCGCATGATCATTGGGGCAACAAACTCGGGAGTGTTCCTTACGGCGTTTGTTCTAGGTAATTGTGCACATTTGTCGCTCTGTTTCTTCTTCTTCCCCAAACAAAAAAGGTCAATGACCTGGACTAGACGGCTGTCACCATGGTTACTTGTGTTGCTGCAGACACCCTGCGGTGTTGGAATACATTATGCTCATGTAGCAAGTTGCGCAGGGCAGAGTTGGAGGGGCTGGTCCCCATATGTATGAATGTGCTTGTAATGCATGCGTAATGTAATATAAAACAGTGCAGTTTGTTGAGCTAGACCACCCAATGTTAAGGTGAATATTATTCATACCTTTTTATATTTTTCAGCCTCAGAACTGGTTTCCCCCGACCACCGCACACTGATTTCCATGTTCCTGACGATGTTTTTCGGGATAGGAGGTGTGACTCTAGCGCTGGTGGCCTATCTCATCCGGTACTGGGAGTGGCTTCAGCTGGCCATTTCACTCCCCAATGTCCTCTTTATTATGGTCTACTGGTGGTACGTTTCACAATGTTTGCTTCTTATGTGTGAGTGTGTGGGCCGTAACTTTTTGTACTGCAGTTTCTCTATGTTCTGCCTGGCGGCACTTACCACTAAATCAGTGATCGTTTGAAGGAGATGTAACTGTGTAGGCAACAGTTTGTCATAATTGTCGTGCTTGAATTGTGATTATATTTTTGGTGTGTTGGTAGCTGTTGCGATCCTAAAGATGTGTATATATTGGGGCCTCCCGGTGACTTTTCTTAGGACTACACCGAAGAGCCTTACCCATACCTCTTCTTCTGGACATGGTCTATATCTTGATTTTTCAATAGTAGGTAGCTGCCGGGGTATGAGAAAGAAATAGTATAAGCCCCAATCCCGGAAGCTTGTTTATGAACTACAAAGAATCCTTCTATCATCATTATTATTATTATATTATCATCATCATCATTATTATTATTTTCAGGGTTATCAATGAGTCCCCTCGATGGCTCCTAGCTAACAACCAGAAGGTCAGGGCGGTGGAGATTTTCCGGAAAGTTGCAGACGTCAACAAGAAGGCCATCCCAGAAGGACTGTTTGAAGAGGATGAAGAAACAGATGCCGTCAAAGTACGAAATATTGATTGCAATTCTTACAATGGGATTTACTTGGCTTCGGTGCTTCTAAACTAATTATATTTAACGCTAGATATAGATAACGCTACCGTACCTAACATTTATCCCTATTTCTGTATTTATTTATACAGACAAACGGACAACCCAAGTCGCGCCATAGCATACTGGACTTGGTGAGAACACCCAACGTTCGGAGGAAATCTCTCATCATGTTTTATGCGTGGTACGTTTTCTTTCTTTTTTTTTACGTTTTCTTTCTTAGGCGATGTACGTACATGTATATTAGTTTCATATATGGCTGACAAAATTCATGCGAGCGCATGAATTTTACATCCGTTTCCAAACAAAAAAAAACTTTACAACAAATATTTGAAAATTATACTAATGTCATCTACGTAAAATTTTCTTTAGGTTCGTCGCAGGGTTTGTTTTCTACGGATTGTCGCTGAATGCCACGAACCTGGCCGGAAACCCGTACCTCAACTTCTTCGTCTCCTGTGCTGTTGAAATCCCCGCCTACATCCTCGCAAAGCTTTCTATGGATAGGTCAGTTTACAAACGTTAACATTCTTTCAACGTAATTACTCTAATACTATACTAGTCGTGGCGAAGTAGCGTGCTGTGGCCTAGTGTCTACTATTCCCGCCTCCAGATCGCAAGGCTGATGTATTTGTAATGTGTACATTCACGATCACACAAGTCATGCCTATATACGTGTAAACGTTATAACATAAATGTGGCCTTTAATTTTTATAACTTGTGCTTTTTGTGTGTACGAACTTTGCTAGTTGCATACAATTTTTGTAATATAATACTGATGTACCAAACGTTAATGTTGTTTTTTTCTAAACAGGATTGGACGGCGATGGTCTCTTCTTGCCTTTCTGTTGGTTGCTGGCTTGGCGATGTTGTGTATCATGTTCATCCCAACTGGTAAGTCGTATATGGTACTATGTATGGCAACACCTATCAAAGTACGATACTAAATCTTAGCGCTAATCTAATAAAATACGTCATATATCAATGGACTTTGTTTTTATGTTTGTAATCCAATAGCGTATTCCACGGCGATCACCGTGCTTGCGGTCATTGGAAAGTTCGGAGCCGCTGGTTGTTTTGGAACCATCTACGTGTTCGCTACAGAGATCTTCCCGACCGTAGTCAGGTAAGAACTGTTTTACAAACTACCTCAATGACGTAAGTTACATCCCGTGGCTTTTAGCTTCAGGTACTAGTATTACTTCAGTGTACCAATCACATTCTGATTATTCCACTATGCCCATGTATTGTGATAAAAAGTTATTAAAGTTCCTACGTAGGGGTTAACGGTCGAACCGCGAATAACTGTTGCCTTCTTCAGAATGGATGGCCCATGCAAATGATAACGACCCGGTGGGATTACGGACACGTGACTTCCACCCCCTTCGTCAGAACTGAACTGAAACAAAGCGATACCTACCTCGATATGGAGGTCGAGGAGCTAACGTTGATTGTTGTTTATTTATTTATTTGTTTGTTTGTAATCTGACAGGAATGTGGGTGTCGGGGCGTCCTCCATGTGTGCCCGTATCGGGGCCATCGTGGCGCCCTTCGTCTTCCTACTGCACGACGTCTGGTCACCCCTCCCTTACATCACTTCCGGGGGCGTGGCCCTGGTGGCTGCCGGTCTGGTGCTGCTACTTCCGGAGACCCTCGGTACCAAGCTGCCTCAGAGTCTGGAAGAGTCCGAGAATTTCAACAGGTAAACATGGTTCTTTAATTTGCCGTTTAGCAATGTACAAGTCATTGAATCAACATTGTCAACTGATTATTGTTGTGAATACAGATAGCATTCATCAATTGACAAAGAGTAAGATAATGATTATACAAAATGAATCGGTGATATCTGAAATGGAGACTTTATGTACAATATATTTCCTTTTGTTTGGACAGGAAAACAGCTCAGACGACCACCTCAGAGAAACCGAACGACGAGACTGACAAGACAGCCGAAACAAAAGTGTGATCTGGTTCAACTTAACTTTGATCTACGCCACGGGATCTAGATCTCACTTCAGGAATGTTTCTACAGTGTACCCTCTTGGTCAAGTGAGGGTGCAAATTTCGCCATGATGTTACAGGTACTTGAAACAACACAAAACGCAGATGATTTACCGACTTTTCAGCCGGATCCATCTTTAGGATATTGACCCGCAGTGATCTCATGGAGTGTGCGGTCAAGGTTAGGTCAGATGTGCCTGGAAGTCTATATCTACCCCCGTCCCATTTTTGCCTAACAAGCCGTAAGGCAACACCGAAACGTGACCAGTTAAAGATTTTTTGTTCACCTGATTGGCTACTCTTAATAGCTAATTAGGGCTTATATATCAGGGCTATATTAGCTACTAATTACACTAATTACTCGTGTCAAAGGTCACTGCCGTTGTACACATTTATATTTATAATTTTCATACTCTTGAAAATATCAGCTTTACAACTACGGCAAATGAGAAAACCACCAAATGCCATTTTGGGAGGCACATGTTGTTTTGGGAGGCACATATTGCCATGTGCTGTTTTGACCTTCTGATCACATTTTGGTGACGTGACCAAAGTAGAAAATCTTGAAATAAATTCTATTTTATTTTTCGTAGCATCAACTACGTTTAGGTTGAATTAGGTAGAAGTCACTAGCCTTGCATATCATAGACACCTGCAAATGTTTTGTTAGTCTCTGTATTGATATATTATTAAATACATGTATGAAATTTCATTTTTTTTATTAGGGCTATGTATTTTTTACTATCTGAGGTTTAATATTAATACTAATATCAATACTAATATTAGTATTAATCTTGAAAACAAACGTTAACGTTACAACTTTATAAAGATATAAGTATACAAAATATTTTTGTACCATTTTTGGACAATTAGAACGTAAAGAAATGTTTTGCGTCTGTCTTTTGTTAACACTAGACGTATACTGTTATACTATAAATATATATATATATATATAAATATAT